AGATGGTAGAAGCAGCCTTTTTAAAGGGTCTGCTAGCCCTCCATGCCTAATCTTTAATCTCTAATAAACTCTTAGGATCATAAATCCCTATTCTCTGAAAATCTCCAGTGCCATTTTTTGGACAGGCAACCTCAGAGGAACTGCTTTTGAGTTTTCCCTTTAGAAACTATTCAAATATCTAGAAGGGATGCATTCACTTTACAATAACAGGATTTCAACTAGATTTGGACCTTGTTGTTGCAACAAAAGAAAAATGACTTTAAAATAGGTGTGTGAATCTTGCTAGAGTAGTAAAATATGGAAGAGGAACAGGGGTAATGTGATGTTTAGATAGCCAAAGGATACTCCCTTATTGCTTATTCTGTCTCTAAAACCTGATGAAAAAGGGAGCAACATTTCTTAATCTCTACTAGTAACAAGATGATGAATCAGGATTCTTGGTGTCCCATGCTGTTTTCTGTACTCTACTGTCATGCCAGGTATTTTGCTTTTTAGATCTTTAGAAAAGAGGTTATTAGAAACAATTTCACCTACTTTCAACAATGTGTTCCAAGCAGGACAACATGTTCTTGGACACAGGCATAAGGAAATTTTACAGGGAGTGGTAAGTCAAATAGCTCAATCTGATGTTTACTCAGACCATAGCAACCTTTTTATTTATATTGTGTTCTGTAGTCATTTTCACAATGTAAACAGTGTTGGACTCTTGCTTCTAATACTAAGCTTGTAAGTCAAATCAATGTATCTGTCCATTTTGGATTCCCAATATTCAAGTGTAAGAGCTTCGTATCTAGGGATTTCCTGGACATTGTCTTCATCGATTCAGTGCTAAAAATAATGAGGAAATGTTTTTATGATAGGACAACTTTCTCTCTTTTATACTTTGTTGTTCTTGTTCTTTACCTGACTTATGGCAACACTAAGATGAACCTATCATGGGTTTTATTGGCAAAATTTGTTCAGAGGAGGTTTGTTATTGCCTTACTCTGAGGTTGAGAGGGTGTGACTTATCCAAGGTCCCTCTGTGGGTTTTCACAGCTGAGTAGGGATTGGAGTCTTCAGAGTCATACGCCAGCTCTCAAACCACTACAGCACGCTAACGTTTAATGAGGTGGTGGGAAAAAAGCCATCAAGAACGAACGAACCAAATACAATTTTCAAAAAATCTATTGGGTAGGTCCTCCACAATCCTGGAAGATATTTGGACTGGTTCTAAAACCTGATTATATTATCATTACCCAGTATTGTGCTCACATTCAACTCCTACCCCCTTGAATTGACTAGAGTACATTCCTGAGCTGACTTACGTAGTCTAAAGGGATGTACACAGAATCTGTATGTGAATGCCCTTCCCCACACAAATGAACACTTTTGCCACAAAACAGTTCTGGTATGTAATTATGGCTAAATTGTATGGCTAAATTGACTGTATATTGACTGTATCTTGTGTTCAGGAAGTGTTCTGTATTTCCCTAGAAAATAAACTACCATTGATACATATAGATTAGAGCTTATCCTTAAATTGTCAAATAAAAATGGATGCACTTTCTTTGAAATCATTCCACATTGTGAATAAATCATTACCAGAGAACCTAAGAACCTATATAGAACTTTACTGTATAAAAATAAAAAAATATTTGAAGTATATAGAAATTTTGTTTATCTACTGTCTAGAGGAAACATTATATGAGATAATGTAAATTTATTGTAAAACATATATACATGCTCAAAAGCCAAGTCCTTGGACTGGATCACATTGTAGAAAGTCTGTCAGGCATAGCAGTATGTTTAGATGCAAAACTGGATACTTAACACATATGTGTGGCTGTTGTGTGCCTTCAAGTCATTTCCAACTTACAGCAGCCCTAAGTTGAACCTATCGCCGAGTTTTCTGTGGCTGAGAGTGTGTGACTCACCCAAGGTCACCCAGTAGGTTTCCATGGCCAAACAGGGATTCGAACCCTGATCTCAAGGATCAAAATCCAATGCTCAAACCGCTATACCACACTGGCTTTCACTCCTAACGTAAATACTATATACAGTGAAATATGTGTTGTATCTTTATATAGCCTGTATCAATTTATCTAAAAATAGGTCCCATTGTGCTTAATGAGTCATATTTCCAAACAGGTGTGTATTACAGCCTAAATGCACAAATCTTGTCATGTAATTCCTCACAAAAATTCTGTGATAGATTAGGACATTAACAGTTCAGGAGAACAAAACTTTAAAAAAATGTTCTTGATGATTTGAGAAAGATAGGTGAAAGTACAGTGTAAAACCACTAATAGAAATTGTAATTGTTTGGTTAAATCTTTTTTCAGCAGATAGTTTAGATTCTAACATATGCTACATAACACAGAGGAAAAAAAGTGATATCTTAAACAATGATCAATGCTCAATAAATTTATAAAACTACTATTTTTTAAAACTGTAGCATTCCTTCGCAGACTCTTGGAACTTGGTTCTACCTTAAGTATAGATTAGCAAATAACAATTAATTTTCTTAAGAGATAAGTCAAGTATCTAGTGAGCTGAATACATATTACTATTTAACTTCTTGCCAGTGCAAGGACTCCTGAACTCTGAAATCACATTTAATTTGGTCTTTTTCTCTTCATATATGCTGCAGATTTCATTAATGTCTTTGCATCCTTGAAATCTACCAGAGCTGATTTAATGATTTAATGCAGGATTAAAATACAGTTTACTGGGAACCCAATACATGTAAAATCAAGGTAGAGGACTTAAACCTTCATTCAGCCCACTACAACATCCAGGCACTAGTCTAGCAACTGCAGAGACCCAGCTGACTCCAGTGACAAGGAAAAATAGAACATTGTTATCAGTATGATGTTGGGCAAACAATCTGATTTTAGGAAAGGTTTGAGCAACCCCATCCATGACAAAATAATCTAACCATGGCAATAGGGTTGATGATAGTTGATTTTCCCTGCAAGGGTGCGGGACCTATTAAGATAGTCTATTCTCAGAGAATCTAAAGATTCCTAAATACTTTTAGGGGATTTTCTGGATAACAGCGCTGGCAAATCTATCAAGGCCTTGGCCTTATGATGGAATAATGAGATGGAAAGGGCTGCCAGTACAATCACTTCCAAGTGGTCAATCCAGTGTTGTGGATCTCCTTAGTCCATTTTGGTTTACAGAAGATCTGCAGGCAAAGAAACTGGCTGGACAACAGTTAGAGTGCAGATGGTGTAGGTCTAAGAGTGAATATGACTGGAAATCAGCAAAGACTCTTTACTGTGACTATCATGCAGTGAGACAGTAAAAAAAAGCAAACCATGTGACACTACTAGAATTGTGTTGTCAGCTTCCCACCCCACAGGATTATTCCAGGTGGTGAAAAAGTTTTTCAGTACAGATAGATGGAAAGAGATAAGGAGTGGAACCTGTAGGTATAACCTCTGGAAGGGGAAAAAAAACCTAGGTACTTCAAAGAGAAAATCATTCCAATTCACTCAGATCTTGACACACACTCCCTACACACATTCCAGGGAGATGCCCAATGCTCTGTCTGGTCAGATTTTCAGATTCAATTGTTACAACTGAAGAACAATGCTGGATGTGCATGTGTGTGTGTGTCATTTTTTCAGTGTTTTTTTTTTTTAATTTAAATGAAAAAGATAGGAGCTGGTCACAAGGGATGGCAAAAGAGAAGTGGGAATTGTTAGACTACAGAAGGGGTAGGAACATGTTTCTCCAAAAATAATTAGATTTAATATATGTCATTCAAAAGTACCATCATATTCAAAGGTGTAAGTAATTACAGGATCTCTTGAACCAACAATGACAGGTTGCAGTGGTAAGCTAAGATGGTTATAAGATCCATTTAAGACAGAGAGACATTACCAGTTCTCTGATGCCTGTGGTTTTTCATGAGTGGTTTCAAAGTCCTTAATATATTTTAGGGTATGCATTCTAGAGAATCCATCTTTGAGACTGACATCTCCTGAGGTATAACTTCAAATGGTGATGCTATCCTATGGCATGAATCAGAGAGACAGTTGGGGTCGTCCTGCTTGTGAGAGGGTATATAGTAGCATTATATGTAATCAGATTAATCTTCATCCTTAATTGTAAGCATTTTTCAAGTGCAGTATTGCAGCACTCATCAGTTGCCATAAAGTTAGAGAACTCAAGAAAACTTCATTTGACAAGTAAGTGTCAAAGTAATGTTAAAGGAAAAGATGTTCATCTCTAGGGTTTATAGGAAAATCAATAAGCTAAAAGTGTGAGATAACATAGCTATTCTGAATAACAGTGCAATAGATAGATTACTAAGACCTTTGCCAGTAATGATAGTGGGAACAATAAAGTGACCTCTGACTGAGCAATGAGGAGCATCCAGGATCAAATGACATCTAAGCAATTTGAAAGTGCAATTTCATACAAAGACATAAAGGTGCCGTGTGGCTAATTTGTGATAAGTGCTTTTAAATATGTGTCATGAGGAAAGTGTGTATTCTTCAGCTCAGGGCAGTGAAGAAGGTTTGCTGCATAAATGAAGAAATATGCAGGAATCAATACATGCAAGTAAGGGGACTCAGCAGGGATGAACAGCCAATAAGAAACTGAATCATGTTATTATAATTGGTATTCCAAGATGAACAAACAAGAGTGCTTCGGGTACCTTTCATGATGAGCAGGAAGAGTATCCTGCTGCTCCATTATTACTGGCTCATTTATGGGATGCCTGTGATGAATTAGGTTCTCATGAATTGCTCAAAAGACCTAGCCATTGGCACAAAGGAGGCTTCCCAGCACATTGTCATAATGTATCCTGTAAATTCCACGGCCCCCGGGCCTTAGGTTGCCTACCCCATTTTAGCTGATGCAGAATGGTATAAAATCATTGTATAACCTGCTTACAGGACTAAACTACACACTAATCTTCATTGTGATGCACACTCTAATAAAGGTACATGAGGTCAGTGTTAGATTAATTGAAAGATATCATGAATTGCATCACACTGTTTTATATGATATTACACAACTTATGCAAATGTCATGATTCTAGTATTGTAAGAATTACATTTTGGGTCAAAAAAGAAAAATGAGAAACATCTCAAGATGATGCAAAATTGTCTTTATAAGTTAAAAAGCTCAATGTATTTCAGCCTCTGGAAATGCTAAATACCTTCTTCTGGGGAGCTATAGAAATAAAAATAATTTGTTAATTTCTCACATAGATTTAATTAGATTGTGTTTTTTTCAGTTTTTTATCCTGAATTATCTTTCATGCAGCATCCAGCTACATGCCTATGGAGGTTTACTGACAAGTCGAATATGATGGAGGTAGTGGTCCTTATTGTTGGGGTTTAGGTTATCAGCATTTGATATACAGAAAATATTAGGGATGCAAAAATATTTGGAAAAAATGTTGGAAAATGTTTTTTGAGTGTCATGTAACCCTGACAAGAAGAATTCTTTGCAGTTTAGGACTTATTCTGCAGGAGGAAAAATCATGCATGATTATTTTGCACAAGAAATAGTATTTTTGCTGTTTCCTTCATACAAAATGCAGTAATTGGGAACTCATTCTGCACAAAACTTGCATATGGATGATTAGCATTTTCTGCACAGGAAACAGCATTATATTAGATAATATCTTTGCATTTGTTGTCATTGTTAACTGACTTTGAGTTGACCTCAACTCAATGAGACAGCTCTAAGAACCCCTATTCTCAGAATCTCTGCTCAGTTCTTGCAAGGTGGTCAGGCCTAGCCATCTGGTCTGCAGCCTTCTTCTCTTTCTACTGCCGTCTACCTTTCCTAGTAGTATTGTCTTTTCTAATAAGCCATGCCTTTTCATGATGTGGCCAAAGTGTGACAGGCTCAATTTAGTCATTCTGGCTTCCAGGGAGAGTTCAGGGTTGATCTGTTCAAGGACCCATTTGTTTATCTTTTTGGGCATCCACAGTATCCTCAGCACTTTTCTCAGGCACCACATCTCAAATGTGTTGATTTTCTTTGTATTGGCTTTCTTCACTCTCACATGGTAGTGGGTTATACAATGGCTTGAATGATTCTAACTTTAGTGTTCAGTTGTAATTTCACATTTTACAAGTGTTTAAAGGGACATGTATAAAAATTGGGAAAAGGGAGAAATCACCAGAGATGAATTCAAACACATTTATAGCACATGTAGGGGTAAAGTCACTAAATCTAAAGTACAGAATGAGCTCAGGCTTGCTAGAGAAATTAAGATCAATAAAAAGGGCTTCTGGGGATTATGCCTGTAGCAAAAGGAAGAAGAAAGATATGGTAGGGCCATTGTGTGAAGAAGGTGAACTACATCTAAGGGTATTAAAAGAACTGGCAAAAGTAATCTTAGAGCCACTGGCAATAATCTTTGAGAATTCCTGGAGAATGGGAGAAAAAGTTACTTTGGGGAGGTTTTGGCTTCCAGAATCCTCAAGCTAGCATGAGCACTGACCATGTTGGCTGTGGGATTCTGGATTTTGAACAAATCTTGCCAAGAAGACCATGATATAGGGTTGCCTTAGGTTAACAATAAGTCAGAAACAACTTAAAGATACATAACAACAACAACAACATTGTAAAACATAGAATAGTATATAAAAATATTTCTGGTTGCTTTGCATAGCAAAATGGGCAGAGTAGTATATGTGTGAGCATGTGTGTATGAGTGTGTTAGAGAGTTGTGAGTTAGAGAAGCTGCTACTTGCGTAGAGGATATACTTTTAGGGGGTTTGGGCTTAAACATATTTGCTGAAAGCAGGGAAGATGCAGATATTCTACTATGGCTTCATGTAGAGTTTTACTGCTTAAATTACATTTGAGGCAATGGGATGTAAGCCACTATTTCTGTACAGGACTACATTCTATACTCTCAGGTACCATCTGAAGACAAAGACAGTGACTTCAAAAGCATTCCTAATGACTTGCTAAAATGCACTGAGAGTTACCTTTATTGTTGCGTGCAAAGAAAATATCTTGTATAAAGTTGCAAGAATCAGAACCAGTT